TATTAATGAAACCTCTAATTGATAACATCTGAAAGCACACACATTACACCATTTTCCATGCTATCATCTGGCTATTACACATTTTTAAACTATGAAAATAAATATCTTAAAATTTTTTGTTCTACTCTGCTGACTTTAGTTTGCAAGTGATAAGAAACAAAACCTGATGAAAAACACAAAACGTTTTCTTCAGTGTTTGCTGGTTAAGATCATACAGTTTTTAAATAGATTGTTAATAAGAAAATATGAGGCTAACAATAAAATATTTTCTCCTGCTTCTGGTTAGTCGGTAGGTAATTGATTTTTTACTGATATCAAATTGTCTCATAATATAAGTGTAGGAAGAATCTAATAGCCATCATGTGTTTTTTCTGCTTTACTTTTTCTTACCTCACTCTTACATTTACTGTACTTTTCCTTATTCAATGTCATACTTTTAGAATTGTGCCATAAGTCATGTTCATGGTTCTTTCTTTTTTTTTTTTTTAATGTTTATTTATTTTTGAGAGAGAGAGAGAGGCAGAACATGAGCGGGGGAGGGACAGCAAGAGAGGTTCCAGGCTCCCAGCTGTCAGCACAGAGCCTGATGAGGGCCTAGAACTCGTGAACCGCGAGATCATGACCTGAGCCAAAGTCAGACACTCAACCAACTGAGCACCCAGGTGACCTTGGTTATTTCTTTCTCATTCAGAATATTCCTTAACCCTAGTGTATTTCCTGAAACATTACAATCATTGGTGGTTGCTAGCCTTATTTACTTTAAACTCTACTGCTATGTCTTAAGTCTGTATAAAAACTTTTCACTTTGGATACTTTGTATGAGGCAAATGTTTGTATGAAATTTAAAATTTAGTATTTCTAGTAATTCTTTATCACAGCTTTGCATTGGATTTATAGGTTTATGTTAAAGAGTTATTTCCACCTCAGGAGAGTCCATTCAATTCTACAATATTATAGTTAATCTTCACAGTACTCTTGGTGAGGGTATTCTAGTCACTTCAATCTTAAAAGTCACACAAAATAGTCACGTAATTCAATGTGTTTGTCACTTGAATTCTCTGTCAGCGACAGTTAGGATCTTATTTCTCCTGTTAATAACATTCTTACTAAGAGAAAATTATCTGAAGACTACATGTGCTCAGATGATCAGGGGACATGAAAAATGAATGGGCTATCTAAAATGTGAAAGTTAAACAAATTACTGTATTACAAATGAGACTTAAAGGTCTGTACCTGCAGTCTTCTTTTATGGGGTTGGGGCTTATAATATTAATAAAATGATCCTTTTCTTTACTCTGGATGTTTTTCAGAATAGCTCAAGAAATTTTAAATTTATACTCAAGTATCTGACCTTTTGATTAGTTTCCACTCTCTCAGAACACAACATAAATTCCACCCTCCTCATAACACCTAATAGAATCACATATTCTATGTACTATTTTTATATTATAAATATATTTATTTTCTATGTGACTTGTTTGATACATGATTATCTGGGTTCAATCTTAAATATCATGGCTGAAGACTAGAAGAGTAAAAGACTATGACCATACATTTTTTCGCATTATTATTTTTAATTTTTCTATGCGTGTTCACCTCTCTGGAAAAGATTATCTTCTTCCCCCTTGCATAAATAGCTGTGATTTCCCAATCCTCCTGAAAGTATTATATCCAAAACATTAATTTTTGTAGCTATACCATAATGTCGTATTTGTCACAGTCTTATCTCTTAGTTTTTATTAAGTAGTAACTGTATGTAGCAACTGGAAGGACAAGTGAATGGGGCATACAGAAGAGCCACAATCTTTGATAGGAAAGCTGAAAGTAAAAAAAGATGGGAGTGTCTCACACAGCAGCACGTCTGCATCAAAAATGGTCACGACAATTTCTGATATTGCAGAAGATGCACAGAGGAATTCTCTCTGAATACGGAGTGCTCTCTAAATTTCGATCAGACTTTTAATTTTATTCAGCCATTAAAAACATCTTCCATATAGTGTAGAAACACCCTTGTTAAATTCTTTGATAAATATATCTGGGACAGGAAATACATTGAAAATGAGGTAGTATTTCTCACATCATTGCATAGGTTAATGCTACCCTGGAAATGCCTAACAGATCTTTCTCGCCAATTTAAGATCAGCTAGTTCTCTATATTGGTTGAAGTATACCACATACAGTTGCCTGTGGTTATGGAAAGTTATGTAGCAGCATGGTGGTTAGTCCTGGATGCTAGTCTCATGAGCATATTTAACGTATATAATAATCTTGAGTTAAATAGCTGTACATTTATGTATCACTTCATTTGGTTCCATATTGGCAGAAAACACATGTACTGAGAAGCCACCAAGGAGTTGCATCATATTTAGTGTACATACTGTTCAAAACCCTGTATGAAGCAATTTCAAACTAGGTCTCAGTATCATGCCCTTCAAGGATATGAAAATATCAAAGACCATCTGAATGTATGTGGACATTCTATGATGTTATATTCTGATCAGTTTAAAGCTCAAGACTCAAGAATTTGATACACTCTACATATGTCTATGAAAATTTAAAAACTATAGTGGAATAAGAATTTTAAAATAGACAAAAATTTCAATTTAAATGACAATCCAGAAATTACAAACTCATTTTCTTGTCTCTCTGAAGTGATATTATTTGTTTTAAGGCAGAAGTGAAAATCACAGAGTCATCTATGATTTCCACTGTTATTCATTTGAAGTTATTATAGTGTGGTAAAATGTATTCTGGATTCTATCTATCTATCTATCTATCAATCATCTATCATCTATTATTTTAATAATGTATAATTGATATATAAATAACTTGTACGTATGTAATATATACAATTTGATGAGTTTGAACATATAAAACACCCATGATACCATCACCAAAATCAAGGTAATAGGCATACTCAACACCACCCAGTTATATATATGAAATCACATCTTCCTTACTTTCTCATGTGTAGATGACAGTTGGGTTGTTTCCATATTTTGGCTATTGTGAAAAATGCTGTAGTGAATATTAGAGTATAGATATCTCTTTGAGATAATGATCTTATTTCCTTTTGATAAACACTTAGAAGTCGGATTGCTGGGTCATATGAAAGCTCTATTTTTAAATTTCCAAAGAATCTTCATGCTGCTTTCTATAACTGCTATGCCACTTTGCATTCTCACCAAGAGTGTATAAGGGACAAGGATTTGAATTTCTTCACGTCTTTGCCAACACTTGTCATTTTTTTGAATAGCCATCCTAACAAATGTGTTGATATTTCACTGAAGTTTTAATTGGCATTTTTCTGATAATTAATGATGTGCGTATCTTTTCATATACTTGTTGCTCATTGGTACGTCGTAAGAAAAATGTCTGTTCAAGTCCTTTGCCCAGTTTCAAGTGGCTTTTTCCCCCCACATTGTTGTATAAGTTTCTTACATATATTGGCTATTAACCTCTTATCAGAGATCTGATTTGCAAATATTTTCTCCCATTCTGTAGTTGCCTTTTCATTCTGTTGACTATTTCCTTTGATATACAGAAGCTTTTTACTTTGGTAATAGTCCTACATCTCTATTTTTGTTTTTGTTGCCTGTACTCTTAGTATCATATCCAAGAAATCATTGGCATGACCAATGTCAAGAAGCATTTCACTTAAGCTTTCTTCTAGGACTTTTACAATTTCAGATCTTATGTTTATGTCTTTAATCCATTTTGAGTTGATTTTTGTATATGGTGTAAAGTAGAGGTTAAATTCCTTCCTTCTTTCCTTCTTTCCCTTCCTTTCTTCCTTCCTTCCTCTTTCTTTCTTTCTTTCTTTCTTTCTTTCTTTCTTTCTTATTTTCTTTCTTTCTTCTTTCTTTTTTATTTCTTGACATGTGGATACCTAGTTTTCCCAGCACATTTGTAAAGACTATCTTTTCTCCTTGTGTGTTCTTGGCACACTTGTCAAGGATCAATTGATCTTATGTGCATGGGTGTTCTGGATTTAAATTAGACTATCTGTTGATGTGTGTGGGTAAATTAAATTTCTGCCCTATCTTTTGACACGGTTAATATTTAAGTACCAAAGGAAGCCAGATAAAAGAACATGGCTCGGGGACCTAGAAATAGATTCATGACCTAAGGTAGTGAAATCAGTGAGAAGGTAGACCCAGCCATAGTGTTGGAAGAAAGTCAGGTGCCAACAGAATTCAATGTCTGAATTTTGTCAGGGTGGGAGTTGGCAGCTGGTGTTGATAAATCTGTCAATAGTTGAGTGTGGCATATTGATAAGCAACAAGCTGACAGATTCCTGAAATGTAAAATCATGGGGGATGAAATACTAGACTATCAAAGCAGACAAACAGGCTTTTTAAAGGTAATCTTAGTAGATAGCAAGGTTTTATTCTGGGTTGGAATTCAAGAGAAAGTATTTCATATATTTTTGGGAGGCTGGAAAAACAGGCCAGGTTCTAAGAATTTGTGCCTTTTGTGTCCAAGACAGGCTGTAGAGGCAGAACTTCATAAACAGGGAAATACAGCAAATAGGAATGCAAAGCCATACTTGGATTAATTACCTGACAAAATTACTTTATGCTAATGACAGTGATATGTTTCTTATGTTGATCAGGTCTAATTTCCTCTAGAAATTGAGATAATGTTTTGTGACAAGAAGGTGAAAAAATGGGAAAATTCTATAAAGGCCTCAAAATTTCCTCAGCTGCAAAATATATATGATAATACTTCCCCAAATTACCTTACAGAGTTGTGATAATTTTTAATTTTTAACATGATCCACACATGTGGTTCACACTGGCTTATGATGAAGACTGCTAGATGTTCATTGAAGTCTATTTTCCCCTTCTTTCTGAGATTATAAGCACACTGAGTTTCCCATCCACTCTGCAATTATTTTTATGACAATGGCTCTAGTGGAGAAGTGATATGTGCCATTTGTGGACTACACATTTAATAAACAGGTCTTCTTTCTCCAAAATCTCTTCCCTTTCTATTAGGTGCATGTGGATGTAACCAGACTCCAAAGGATTGTATAACAACATAGCCTACCTCATTGACTCAGTACCTGCAAGGAAGCTACCCACCAACCTTCATATCCACACCATACTGTGAGTATGTGAGCAAGAAATAAACATCTCCATTGCTTGATGCAATCCACATTTGGATTTGCTTGTTAAGTGGTTTCAGTGCAACTACTTAAATTGGGCCCTGGATTTTTCATACTCAACCTTTAATTAAATTTTCTATAATTGTGTTCCTATTTTATTTTTCTTAAATATTATATCTTCTATCATCACTAGGCCAGCTTTCTTCTCACTAAATTATAGCCCTTTCTTACTCAATTTCACAATAAGCAGCCATATGCCATTGATCATTGTCATATTTTATGTGATTTTATTTTATGTTATTTTATTTTTGTTGTCATAATTATTTATATAAATTTAAAAATAAAAATTTTAAATTTCTCAAGTCATATATTCATTGATTATAAATTTTTGATTCATGAGAGATATAGATGAAAAAATATCTATCAGTCCATATAAAAATATCTCAAGGAAGATAGATGTTAACATTAATAAAGGTATTGGTGATGTATTTCCAACTATAACTGTAATTTATTGTGTGTGGCTGGGACTTCCTTCTCCTAATGATAATTTAATATACTTTTACATAGTATGCCTTTCATCTTACCCTTAAAACAGATACACAAATAAAAATAGGTATTTTTAATCAATTATTATGTGGGATTCTGACTGATAATATTAATGGCATCTATTCAAAATATTGATTTATTTAGTTGTTTGTAGTGTCATTTAAAATTCCCCTTTGCCAAGTCTCAATTTAAAAAACTCTTGGGGTTCCTCGGTGGCTCAGTCAGTTAAGCTTCCAACTTCAGGTCAGGTCATGATCTCACAGTTCATGTGTTTGAGCCCTGCATCAGGCTCTGTGCTGACAGCGCAGAGCCTGGAGTCTGCTTCAGATTCTATGTCTCCTTCTCTCTCTGCCCTTCCCCCACTCATGCTCTGTGTCTCTTTCAAAAATAAATAAACATTAATAATTTGTTTAAAAAATAAAAAAAACTCTTAAAATCAGTATTCCACATGAAACATTAAGGTTCAATGATTCAACATGCAGAATGCTAATTCGCACCTACAAGTATTTTATGTCATAGACATCTTTTTCAGCTTCTCTCTATGAGGTTGGGAAAGCCTCCATTTAGAAAACGGTTCAACTTGGACACTACATGTCATAACCTGAGGATATGTTATAAAGAGCATATCTCTTCAGGACTCAAAACAATAAATATTTTATAGTATTGGGTAAAGACATGAGTTGTTAAATTCCTGCTCCATCTCTAATCAAATATCCATTTAAACATTGATATTTGAGACAGTTGTCCAATAGCCACTGTGATGATCAGTCTTTTAAGATCTCTATCATCACTCTGTCTTCAATATATATCATGAAACCTGTGTAATGTGACTATATCCTTTTAACTCCAAGGAAATATGCTTTCACAGAAATATGGTTTAATTGTATACCCACGAATGTTCATGACAAGTGATACAATAAATGACCACATAAACCCAATTTTTATTTTTTGTACTTGCTCCTGAGTATATTGCAAAACATCCTTTACAGAGAAATCAACGCCATAGATTCTCTTAACATTTGGGGGAAAAATATTTCCCCCTTAAAAATAATATACCTGGAAAATTCATATTTCTAGTTTTCCTTGGTTGCCAGTATCTTCAGGATATATTATTTTAAGATTACAAAAACATGACATATATTTAGAACTGTGATTCATTATTTTTCTTTGTATTGCCATTATTGTTTCAATTATCTTAATGGGATCTTGTCACTTCATATTATTTTGTTTCTATTTATTTTACATAGATTCAATTTTTACATATATTCAATTCAAATGAAAAATGTGATATTATTTATTAATTTGTTAATATTTTAGAAAATATTAACTAAAGGATTGTAATGCATATAAATATATTGATATATAATATATATTTATCTATTTCTATATATAAAATTGAAAATAATTATACATAATTGTTTTTAGCAAAGTAAGATTATAGTAGTTTTATTTTATTAAGTATTCATATAACATTACAACAAAATATTGTTAATATTTTTAATTCATTTCTACTGATCTAGTTACATTGCCTCATGTGAATGAAATAATTTTTATTTTAACAATATCCAGACCATTGAATATTTAGCCTTTTTTTCAATTTTGTGTTAGATGAAATATAGCAATGGGTTCCTCATCCATCATTTTTTGTGCTAGATTTTTTTCTTTGGATATATTACTATAGGTGAAACTATTGCACTAAAAGCTTTCCACCCTTTTGAAGTTCTTAAAACATAATGGCAAATTATTTATATTAAAAAATCAATTCATATTCCAAAGATTAATGTTTTAGAATTACTACCTCACCACATTTTCAACAACTTTATTATTATAACTTAAAAATATATCTACTTTGAGAGTTTATAAGTATTTTACTGAAATTTTCAACAAATGTTTTGTCAGTTACTAGTAACATTGTGCATGCTTTCAACTGTTGTTAGAAATCTTACACCTGTGTCTGTGAATCCTTAATGCATCCTTTTGTCATTTTCATTTGACTCATTATATTTTACTTACAAATATATTTATATATTAGGGAAATTGATTTTTATATTCATTATTAATATTTCCAAGCCTTTGGTTTGTATATAAATGTTTATAGTATTTCCAGTGCAACTATGTTTGCATATTTAAATATATTAATTTCATTTACATTATTGTCTGTTCAAAAGTTTCCTCTGCCTTCAAGCCCTTATTGGATACCCCAGTTTACAATTACTTCTCAATATTTGATTGAACTCATAATGAATATTATACTTCATTTCTATCAGCTTTTTAAATTTTTGTATTTTATACATGTTATTTACATATTTTATTTAATATATTTATACCTTGATTTTATAACTAAAGTTCTAATTTTCTTCAGAATATAGATTCTTCATCACTATTCTTTTTTATTATATTTTAGCCCTCTCACAGTGACTAATGCATGACTTTGCACATGAAGTTACTTGGTAAGAGCATCTTTTTCATTATTTCATATATAGTAGGTAAAAATAGACATTTTGTACACAAACTTTCTTTTAAAAATGCTCATTCATTTTAATGCAATTCTATATGACATATCTAATTCATATTTTTCTGAATTCATATCTAATTCATGTCTTTTTTGTATGAATATATATATAATATATTTTATTTTTAATCAATTAGAAATTATATGCTTTAAGAATTATTCAGTATTGGGGCACCTGGGTGGCTCTCAGTTAAGCCTCTGACTTTGGCTCAGGTCATGATATCCCGGTTTATGGGTTCGAGCCCCTTGTCGGGCTCTGTGCTGACAGCTCAGAGCCTGGAGCCTGCTTTGGATTCCGTGTCTCCCTCTCTCTCTATTCCTCCCCCACTCATGCTCTGTCTCTCTCTCTCTCAAAAATAAATAAACATTAAAAAAAAAAAAGAGTTCTTTAGTATTATATTTAAACTTGTGTTACAATTACCTAGACAGTTATTGGAGCACTAAAGAAAAGTGATCTTTGCAAAAATAGATAAAATCTTAAACTTTATCCCAAATAAGATGAAATAAGTATTAATAATAAAATTGGAGCTTAAAATTTAAATCTTTTAGGGCATTTTATGAATCTGTGCAGTTTAGAAAACTGTGTTGCTTTATACTGAATAAAAATTTGAAACTTTCAAGGTTCAGTAGCTAAACCTTGAGGGTAGCAACATATGTGGTCTATGCTTACTGTGCAATAGTATTACTTTTTTTTTTTGTTATAAGATCTCTCTCTCTCCCTCCAGCATATTTTTTGATTGAGATATCTCTTTCCTTGAAAGGAAATATACTTCACTGCTAAAGAAAATGTAGCTCTTCCCAACTAGCTTCCCTGATACCAAGTGAAGAAATTAGCTATTAAAATTAAATAACATATTTGAAAGAAAAATTAAGATTGTCAACAGAAGTAGATTGCTTTTACAAAGCTGCTTCAGTCCTGAAAAATATTATTAGATAAGACCCTAATGACTTTGACTGGTGTTCTTCTTGATTAAGTTTGAAGTGAACCCACTTAATCTTAATGTTTAATGATCTTTTACTTGTTCCTTTCATTCTTGTAAAAAGTAGTAGTTATAGCAACGTGGATGGAACTGGAGAGTGTGATGCTAAGTGAAATAAGCCATACACAGAAAGACAGATACCATATGGTTTCACTCTTATGTGGATCCTGAGAAACTTAACAGGAACCCATGGGGGGAGGGGAAGGAAAAAAAAAAAAAAAAGAGGTTAGAGTGGGAGAGAGCCAAAGCATAAGAGACTGTTGAGAACTGAGAACAAACTAAGGGTTGATGGGGGGTGGGAGGGAGGAGAGGGTGGGTGATGGGTATTGAGGAGGGCACCTTTTGGGATGAGCACTGGGTGTTGTATGGAAACCAATTTGACAATAAATTTAATATATAAATAAAAAAAAAAAGAAGCTTTAAAAAAAAAAAAAAGTAGTAGTTATAGGAGTAGACATTTACAATTACCCAAAAGAAAAAAAAAGACATTAACTGATAAAGTTGCTTGTAGAAATGGAACTCCTGTCCTTAATATTTGAGGTTTATTCTAGGATATAAATCATGTTTTCAGTTACCAAAAAGAAACCATTCTACTACTATGAGATTGAGAAGAGTCTCCCAAAGCTGTATATTTTTTTTCCTCTAGCACTTAGGTGCGAATTATTTTAAGGATTGGCTCATGCCGTTATGGTGGCTGGGAAGTTCTAAATCTGCTATACAGATCAGCTAGGTAAGTTGATGCTCTGGTCTTGAAGCCAAAGGCAGTGTGGAAGCAGAATTCCTTACTCTCCTGGGGACTCCACTCTTTTCTTTTAAAGCCTTCAACTGAAGGAGCCTGCCTGGGTGGCTCAGTTGGTTAATTGTCTGACTTCAGTTCAGGTCATGATCTCACAGCTTGTGAGTTCAAGCTATGTGTCAGGCTGTGTGCTTGACAGCTCAGAGACTTGGAGCCTGCTTCAGATTCTGTGTCTCCCTCTCTCTCTGCCCCAACCCTTCCCAATAAATATTAAAAAAATAATAATAATAAAGCCTTCAACTGATTGGATGAGGCACACCCACATTATTGAAGGTAAGAAGTCTACTTATTTGAATGTTAACCACATTTTAGAAAACACTTTTGCCATAACATCTACACTGGTGTTTGATTAAAGAACTGGGAACTGTAGCCCAGCCAAGTTGAGACATAAAATTAACCATTACAATGACTTATTTTAAGCCAATTTAGTTAGGATTTCTAATACTGTCAAAAGCGTGTTAACAGAGAGAAATTGAAGAAAAAAGCAAAAGTAAAAATGGATGAACAAATACGAGACAAAAAAAGGAGTTGACTAGTGATTTGCACTCTGTCACAATATCCCCTGTATTATATTTCAGTGAATTTCATAACACTGTAGATTTCTTCTTCAAGTTAATGTGCAACTGTAGAAATTCCCATACACTCAAGCATTAGAAAAAAAATTCCTTTGTCTCATATTCTTATGTGTAGTTCTGTGAATTTAGGAGGGAGCTGGTTCAGTTCATCCTGAATTTTAGCTCTCATTTTAAAACTTCTAACAAATTTTATATGGCTTAAGTAGAAGGTAGACAAAGGCAAGAATGATCATGTTAGGATTTACTTCACTAGATCCTTGATCCATACACTTCTTTTTTCATATTTAACTTTAAAAATTTGCATATTCTATGGGAGAACAATAGTGCTTCCTCAGTTTCTGAGGAAATTCCCATAGCAGAGGTTGATGCCTCAAAATGAATGAAATCTAGCCTATAATGAAATATCTGGCTCATGTCTCCTTTTGAAACTCTGACCTTAGAACAATGCAGGAGAAAAATAAGGTTCTATCTTTCAGCTATGAATATTGATTATTGCCAACCATATCTTTCCTACATATACAGTCATATTTTGCTTAGAAAGCTGAGTTTTGTGTATAATCTATATGATTCAAGAAATAGTTTCTGAATGTATTAACATATTTATTTCCTCCTGATTTCCCAATTACTAAATCAATTTATTTTTATTTATCCCTACTATAAATTTCTCCCTTTTCCACCAAAAACTTATAGGACAAATGTTAAGGTCACTTTTTGAAAGACATGGTATATTTGGAGTACCTAGGTGGCTCAGTCAGTTAAGCAACCAACTCTTGGTTTCAACTCAGGTCATGATCTCACGGTTCCTGAGCTCGAGCCCCGCATCGGGCTCTGTCTAGACAGTGTGGAGCCTGCTTGGGATTCTCTCTCTCTTCCTCTCTCTGCCCCTCCCCCATTGATGCTGTATCTGTCTCTCTCAAAAATAAATATATTTTTTTAAAAAACATACAGTTTTTCTTCAAATTCCATAAACCCATAAATCTAAGGATTTAAATCGAATGTTATAAAGAATATCACATATAGTCTTCTTTTCAAATATTTCTCTCATGAATCCTTGTTCCAGAATGTAACTACTTCTGAACAAAAAACAGAGCATTTCCACAAGCAAGCAGCAAGAAGTTGGATTTCCTGTGAAAATTTCCTATGCTATTCACAAAAACTTATGAATTATACTTCTAAAATTATATTATTAGAAGCTACTACAGCCTACATTTGCCCTGTCTTCAAAAAATAGAGTCACAAATTAAGTTTCTTATTTGAATGGGAGCTCAAGGGTTCTTTCATCAACCAGGGACTTCTGAAGGCAGAGGGATAAAGGTTTCCTATAATGCATCACACATATAAAAGATCTCATGCAGGTTTGACATAATAGGTCAAAGTAAAAATATGCCACTTTCTTTCTGTGGGTGGATTTTATGTTAAGGTAACTTTATTGTTCCTGGAAAGACTTTAATTAAGAAATCTTAATAACCTCCTTAACTCCTTTTGAAAGTAATATGATATTGGCATAGCAGAGAAAATCATAGCCCAATTATCATCACTTAGCACTTCCTGAGCTAAATGTTTTACAGACAAGGAAGGTTCTTGTTTGTAAGGGAGGTCCTTACCCAATATGCAAATTCTATGCTGTAAATTTCCCACACGGGCTGACTAGTCTTTTAATGTACAGTTACTCACCATCTATCACAATTATTCTTAGTTATTTAATATAGCCAATTCCTTTTTTTTTTTTTTTTTTTTTTTTGCAGTTGAAGTAACTGGAAGTTAAATAATTTGTTCTGAATGAAAGGTCAACTTGACAAAGATCTCAAATTAGATTTTGGTGTGCCTAAGGTATCATTAGGATATATTTTTATTTTCAAAGGCTTTTTTGTATTTTACTCAAGTGTGAGGCATATTATAAAATTTTAGACTTTCAATGCAATCTAAGCCAGCAACTGAGTAATATTGAGATAAAACAGTTCATAATACATATATCTCTGATTACAAAACATAAATTTTCAGTTTTGAATTTTTAGGTGATCTGATCCCTTCATTATGTGAGGGAACAAACATATGCATTCAGCACAGTAGTGTTTAAGTAGTCAGGTCAGTTTCATAATAGGCAGAATAAAAAGGAGATTCCAAGTTCACGTGTACATCCCACGCGCCTCAGAAATCTAGGCGCCAGCACTACGAATAGTACAAGAACAAAATGCCCAGGAACCGACATTACCCTTGTGTAGGTTCCTACTGGAAATGTATCTCAGAGAACCTCAGACTCTCCAGTGAACTTAGAGTAGCCACTCAGTGGGAGGAAAGGGGGGAAACAGAGACAAGCCACACAGTTTATTCTACTGTCCCTATACTCTCAGCATCAGCAGCGATCTCCACTCGGTGCTGTGGAAACATCTTAAAAACTTTACAACAACAGTGGCATGCATTATTGTTCTTGTTATTATTATTTTTGTATCTATTAAACAGCTTATAATCAGACCTTGAGAGAAATCAACATAAACTACAATTTTAATAGAAATGTGCTAGAGGCGCCTGGTGACTCAGTCCCTTAAGTGTCTAACTTCCGCTCAGGTCAAGACCTCATGGTTTGTGAGTTCCAACCCAGGATGGGGCTCTGTGCTGACTGCTCAGAACCTGGAGCCTGCTTCAGATTCTGTCTCCCTGTCTGCCCCTCCCCCCACTCCCATTCCATGTCTCTCTCTTTCTAAAAAATAAATAAGGGGCGCCTGGGTGGCGCAGTCGGTTGAGCGTCCGACTTCAGCCAGGTCACGATCTCGCCGTCCCTGAGTTTGAGCCCCGCGTCGGGCTCTGGGCTGATGGCTCAGAGCCTGGAGCCTGTTTCCGATTCTGTGTCTTCCTCTCTCTCTGCCCCTCCCCCGTTCATGCTCTGTCTCTCTCTGTCCCAAAAATGAATAAACGTTGAAAAAAGAAAAAAAAAATTAATAAAAAATAAATAAAACATTGAAAAAAAAAAAGAGAAAGAGATGTGCTCAAAAATAAAATCGGTTGACCACACACATGAAAACAGAGTAAAAGTCTAGACTAAAATAACGCAAGCCTCTTTTCATCTCCGTTCATTGCCACTTAAAATGTACTGAGATAATTAAAATCAACAGTACAAAGTATGATTTCAGAGTTGACAATGAACAAAGGCAAACCACTGATGTGGGAAAAAAATGCAAAACCTTTATCTAGGATTCAGAGGAACAAGGCTATGGATTTTAAAGTAGGAGACAGATGATGATAGAAAAGATAATAACTTAGATGTGTTTAAAACTGGCCAGAGAAGGTGGGGTAAACTATTCATGGAATGAATTAAAGGAAACCGTAGCTCTATACACAGCGACACAATTTTGAAATTAAAATTCTATAGAAATTATCCTACAAGCACACATATTTAAAAAAAATAATTAAGATAATCACTTTCTTATTTTCCATCTGTAGAATAAATATCAGAAGAAAATGATGCAACTTTTATATAGAGAAAACATTTCTGAAACAAGAAATTTATTTACACATAAGTTTCCATTTGTAAAGCAGGAGGGGTGCCTGGGTGGCTCAGTCAGTTAAGTGTGAGACTCTTGATTTAGGCTCAGGTCATGATCCAGGGTTGTGGATTCTAGCCCTGTGTCTGGCTCTGCACTGAGTGTGGAGCCTGCGTAAGATTTTCTCTCTCTCCTGTGCTCTCTAAAAAAAAGTAAGAAAAAGAAGTCCTCAAATATTTTAGTGGTCAGAAACTACAAAAAAGAAATATCTTTCACAATATTAATCAACGGTGTTCCTCACATAACAGTAAGATAAACCAAAATAAGAAATCCAAGGAGAATATTTTTATTATGCAGGAACTAAGAAAGAGAACTAAAATTTGCTAAATAAAAAATTATGTAAATAATTATAGGTTTAAAAATTATTTTATTGGTAGAAGAGATACATATTTTTAAATAATAATTTTATAAAATGAACTTCTAAATTTTTAAGTTAGTTCTTCCATTAACTTTTACATATAATTATATGCAGACATTAATTAATGAATTTGAATAAATGTGTAAACCCCCAGTCCGAGCAGTGTACAGAAGTTTTTATCACATTAGAAATTACTCTCATGCATTTCCAGGAAATTCTCACCCCTTGGCAATTAAATTTCTAATTTCTACCATAATAGATTAGTTTTGACTGATTTTGAACTCCATATACATAGATAGAATCATATACTAGGTACTCTTTTTATTTCTGTGAGATTTATTCACCCTATAGCATGTTTTCTCTTTATTGCTTACAATAACAAAGCCTGAGTCTCTGGCTGATGGACAATCTGTTTTTTCTCTCTTTTTCTGGTTATGATTAAAGATTGTACTACACCCTCACCAAA